CAGATAAGAGTAGTCCTCAGCGCAGGGCGCGGGAAAGGAGATGAGGTGCTGCGCTAGCGCAGCAGCCAGGGTGTGAGAGCGCGGGCGAGAGAGATAGGAGATGGGCGAAGGCCAGGAGGGACTTACCTGCAACTTACTTGTGGCGCCATAGCTCCAGCTTCGTCTTCAGCACGCCTGTACCTGCATCAAGGCAACACCTTTCTACAGGTTAGTTCCTGGCATACATACGGCGGGAGAGAGGGGATTGCTTCCTCTTATCCTTTCCCCTTGTCTGTTCCTCCATAGCTCCTCCTCTTCCCCTCCAAAGCTTCTTCCCCTTCTTGTTCCTCTTCTTCTTCGGCTGCTCTGTGTGTGTCTGTGTGTGTGTGTGTGTGTGTGTGTGTGTGTGTGTGTGTGTGTGTGTGAGAGAGAGAGAGAGAGAGAGAGAGAGAGAGAGAGAGTTGACATCGAGACTTGGTGACATTTGGACATTGCGTAGTTAAGTGACATTGCGACTTGACATTGTATGACCAGCGACATTGGGGATACACTGGAGACTGGGTTCATTGGGCTATGGTGGCTGATCCTCCAAATCTCCCTCTTCCCCCTTCATCTCTTCTCCCTCTTTCGACAGTGTATGACCGGACTCAGCGCATCCTTCAATGATTGCGTGCTGAGTCCCCCGCACTCTGAGCGATGATGTGTGCTTTCAGGTCCTGTCATTGTCCATGCTGAGTCAGATCTTGGTATTACAGCCTTCCGCTGTGCTATATTTGTATTGCCTCTGAGAGGTCGGTTCTCGGTCCTGATCGATGCCGCCAGAACTCGTCATCATGTTGATTCCTCAAATGTCGAAAACTCCAATGCCCGCATACTGTTGAAGAGACGTTAGACGTAACGTGCGCCTCAAAAAGCAAGGCTCCAGTTCAGGAGGTTCCCTGAATCACCAATGGATAGCAACCTTGCATGCAAAAGCTTAAAAACCAAGAAGAAGAAGAAGAAGAAGAAGGGAGGAATAGACAACAGACCCTTAGGTGGCGGAACCTGCAGCGACAAGTATTTGGGCGGATCATAATGGACCAGGCAATTAAGGGTAAGCAACTTGAATGGGCATGAAGAACATTCAGACGAGCACCTTGGCGGCATAAGATCGGGGTATGAAGAAAAACAAAAACACAATGACATAAGTATGTCGTCTTCTAGACGAAGGAGGAGGCTGTTACAAAAGAAAGACAAAGAGAAAAAGACTCCCTTTAGCTTCATCTTCCCTAAAGAGATATAGACTCCCTCAGCTTCATCTTCCCTAAAGAGAAAAAGACTCCCCTAGCTTCATCTTCCCTCTCATACAGTATCGCAAAGATTTGTGAAACTCTGATGCTAGACAACACAAATGCACACACATACACGCACGCACGCACGCACGCCTGTACTGAGTATGTCCTCGCAAAAACGACAAACAAGATTATGGGGCTCCAATGTGAGATGATTAGGATAGGTGAAGAGAACTACAATATCACTACCACCACGTGATGTTGGACCCAAAAAAAAGGGAAATGTAGAAGATGCAGGGAAAAGAAAAAAGGAAACCCTAAGAGAGGTTCACACTCAGCTGCATGTCCAACTCAAATGGCATATTACTCCTCCGCCTTTCATAAACAAATAAGGTGGGACGTCAACACTGAGAAGCTTACAAGTTACCACATTTTTTAGAGGATCCTTCGGTCAAGAAAAAAAGGAGAAGTTTCACTAAAAACGGAATGCAGCTAACATGCCTAGCCTAGTCAGTACACCCATAAGCTGTAGAAATACAGATCTAAGCAAGGAGAAAAAAAAAAAAAAAAAAAAAGTTTGAATCTCTATGGCAGTAGACATGCAGAAGAAAATCATTGTGAGTTACCTGGGGCCAGTCAGTGCAATGACGACATCTCAAGGTGGTCACCCTCTGAGGGCGGGGGCGGGGGGGGGGG